CTGGTACAAAATGGTTTGAGTTATATAAATAATTTTTGTATATTTATTTTTCATTATTAATTGTTTGTTCATGAATAAATTTTTATCAAAATTAAATTTTTTTCCCCAGACCTTTGACAACGTCTTTGTTGAAAATTTATTTGACAACTACACTATTTTGGTTAAAAGAGAATCGTTTTGATTTATAAACATCTTAATTAGTTAGTATCAGGAAATCTAATGTACCATGCTATTTCAGTATACAAATAACACCTAGTTATATAAAAATCAATAGTAATATATTATAAATCTATTTCTATAGTAATAAAGTAAGAAATGTAAATATTTTCAATGTCATTGTCTATCATTGTTAGACTATGGAAGTAAAAACAACATAAAAATACACTTTCACTTTCTCTTACTGTTTACTACTTTGAATTGGTCTCTATTGTGTGACATCACCCAAACTGGACTCATGTTTACCAAAATGTGTTGTTTACTGAACCACGTGTGGCTTATTACCCAAATAATACTCTCTAATCGCTACGTGTGATAGTTATATTTGTTTTCCATAATTTTATCTTGTTTATTAATCAACTACAATATCTGTAAATGTTAGAATTACATTACTCAACATAAGTTTATGCCTTTATTTATATAATAATGTGTATTCCTTACAGTGTGTACAATCGAATTGATTCTCTCTCTCTCTCTCTCTCTCTCNATAAGTTTATGCCTTTATTTATATAATAATGTGTATTCCTTACAGTGTGTACAATCGAATTGATTCTCTCTCTCTCTCTCTCTCTCTCTCTCTCTCTCTCTCTCTCTCAGCCAAATTAGCATGTGGTTAACTTACTTACACAATTACCAACGAGTTATTTACTTATAACTTGTCATTACTATAAATAGTCAAATATTTGGTTATAAAATTAATCAGTAAATGTTGTACTGTTTTATAGATTATGAAAAGTTAATGAGTTGTAAAATATAAATTATTATATTATATAATATACTTTACTGTAAAAAACGTTTTCATTTGAATGACATTCACTTATAAAGTAATTTTTATAAAATACCCATTTTTGGTCGTATTATTGTTTTCTTTATTAACTTATCATTTTTAAAGATTCACACGTGATTTAAGCAACAATAAATTATTATTGTGTTTAGTTCGCTAAAAATAGACTATAGATTACGAATTATCGCAAACAAAATGAAGAGTCAAATAAAGACATATTCTGTCTGACTCTATGTTATTTACCTTTCGTTGTCATGTTATGTGATTTTATAGAAAAAACAAATAATATTTAATTAAAAGGATATAAGAATAAGGATAACGCTATGAAAGTAAACATAATGCTACATATCTATGAGATTTGATATAATAAGTCCGGTAACGGCTTTAACAATAGGCATCATTTAGAGCTGCATAGGGCTGGAAAAGTGTGCATTTTATAAATAATGTTTACTTTTTACACAATTACACTCAAAACACAATTTTTAACCACAATTCAGATATGATTGTGGTTTATAGGATCTTTAGGATCGTTGATTTGATTCTCTTAAATATCAAAATTATTGGGAACTTATTTTTCAAACTTATAATAATGTCTATACTATGAATTAATAGTACAATTTGAAGTAAAATTTAAAGAATTACATATAAATAATATTTATATTCAAGAATTACAGTGTATAATATAATAAAATTAATTTAGATTTGCCTTAATTCACTTGATTGTATTTGAATTTTAAAGAATAATAATTAAATTTAATTGGTTATATACAACCAATATGTTGTTTTGCCTATTATTTATTGCATAGTTGAACATTGCATACACAAGACAGCAAAAAATATAAGTATCTGTCAATGAGACAGTTAACTAGGTTTCAGAGTTCTTAGTTTTCATTTCTTTAAGTATTTTTACCATATCTAATAAATTAATTATTATTTAAAGCAAATGTTTTTAAGACTGATTAATGTTTGTCTGTCTGTAAATGAAAAGCAAATATAAAATATCAGTTATATATCGGAATGAATAATAAAATTGTTTTTATTATTGATGCAAATTCTTTGACAATTATTGAACGTGTTTTTGAAAACAACCGAAGAGTGTTTGTTAATTCACAGAATCCAATGCGATATTATGTATCAACAAACCTCTATTATGCTCATCATGTTATTTTAAACTCTCTCTCTCTCTCTCTCTCTCTCTCTCTC